GTTCCATCAATTCTCGGTAATTTAGTCACAATTGGTACTGTTGCTGATATTTCTCGCCTCTTTTGTCCAGTAATGGCCTTGTTCAAGTCATCAGTAGGACTATCTAATATAAACACAGTAGATTTGAATGCTTCAAGGGAGGTTTTGATGTTGTTATAAAGCAGACAGAGTTTCTCATAGTTCTTGTAGCACTTGGAACACATAAAACTATTAGTTTCGGCCACTTTCTCCACCAAATTTTCGTCCACAGCTAATTCAGACACCATGATATACTTCCAAGTTGAAAAAACGTTCTTAAAGTTGCTAGCAATACGCCGATCTCCCTTGACAGTACCTGTTCCACAACCGAGACACTCCATCTTCAGCAGTTGCCCTCGTGTTCGCACGTTATAAAGTTATTAAAAGTTATTAACCCCATGACTTCCGCGTTCTTGGCACATGACTTCCGCATTCCAGTTTCAAGAGCCAATGTACGGATGTTTGCCAGACTCCTTCCGAAAAAGGGGTCTGGCTGCGCCAGACTAGGCAGACCAAGCACTGAAGTCGCTAGAAGATGATGCAGAATTCCTTCTCACCCACGCCAAACAGAAACTGGAAGAGTTGGAAGAAGAAGTGGCTCTATGTCAGGAGAATATAAAAGAAGTGGAAAGAGAAAAGGTGAATTACCGAAACAAAAAAGTAAAGCTACAGGCAGAGAAACAGGAAATAAAGGAAAGATGCAAATATATCAGATGTGCTATGAGAGAAGCTCGATCAAGACAAGCACAAAGAAATAAATTTATGAAGTCCCTTTACAAGCATTATGTGGCTCCTAAATCAAACTATGAGGTTGAATCCTATCAACGTCAATTGCAGTCAAAGGAGTACTCTCTTGAAATATTGGAGGAAAACATGAGATCATATTCCGATTCCATAAGCAAACGCACCAAAAAGATTAATCATATTCGCCTACAAGTTAGAAGCATAAAGAATCTCATTGTAGTCGTGAAAGACGGTATTAAATTGTGGGAATTACTGGAAAGTGCCATAGTCGATTCCTCTAAGAGCGCCAGTTATCTTGAGAAGTTTGTTGCCTTGGTAGAGAAAGAAAGAAAAATCCTTAGGTCTGATGGTACGATTGAACTAGCTCCATTTTTGAAAGCATGGAATGAAACATTCATCACTGATTCGATATTTAAGACACCTCCTCGTCAGCCAATTCCTCGTCAGCCAATTCCTCGTCAGCCAATTCCTCGACAATTTCATAAGCGACATATTCAGCCAGCTTGTAAGAGGCCAATTTCTAAACCCATTTCTAAGCCAAAAAAACCGTCAAAGCCATGTGATCTTAATAAGAGACTTCCACTTTGGTAGATCACCAAATTAATAGATGTACATCATGCTACATACTATGAACTAACTATGTACCTAATTACCATAAACTAACTATGTATCTAACTATCATTATTATGAGTTACTGATGAAAGTTTAAATTTTTGAAATTCTGATTATGCAAAAAGGCGGCCTACATGCAGCACTTAACTATTGTTATCATTAAATAGCATAAAGTATATAGCTTATAATAATGATAATAAAAACACAACTTAATGTTATTTTAAGCTCAGTTTTAACAATGGATGACTCCAGGCCACAACTATCTTTCTTTTACCACTGTAAGGCTAAAAAAATTAAAATAAGAATGAATGAGCATACATTATAGCACTAATAGATATAAAATATTTAAATAAAAATGCAAGAAAATTTCACACACTCGATGCCTACCACACATACTAACAAAGTTGTAAATTGGCACACACAAACAGCATAGCAAATTGCACAGGCCTTGCTAACCAATTCGCAAACCAATCTGTAAACTACAAAGGGGGCTGTCTAAATTGAGGTGTGGCACACTAAACAAACAGCTCACCAACAACTGCATCTATAGCTATGCCACCAGTAATAATTGTTAATGCAATTAAAGTAATGCTAACCTGTCTTCCATGAGAAACACGGAAATTATCAATCATCAAGAGGTCTCCTTTCCTCCATCTATCAAACACCATATTCTTGTGAATGATCTCTCTGACATGAGACACGTCAGACAAAGGAATCTCGCTACCATCTCCAAACATGGTATGCATTCCCATACCTGCAGGCTCTGTTGAATAGAGTAAAGTACTGCACATCAATTGTAAGTACTACCAATATTATAACAACAATATCATAACGCGTTTTACAGTGTAAAAGATTCATAGTCTCATAAATAAAATAAAAATTTAATTTTTATAGTATTGATTTGCACCATGTGCAAGTGTACGCTATTTTCTTACTTTTAATTGCAACAAAGATGTTTTGTATTATCCAGGATATAATTGTCAGGAAAAGGTAGAAGATTTTTCTCATTCGCTTAAAAATATAGCCATACTCTTGATAGGGCATAGCCCAATGAAATATCTAAAATGAATCTAGTTAAACAAATGTAGTTATTATGAACTAAAATGAACTAGTATACACAAAGTTTGATGTCTGCATTGGAAATGGCCTTACTGAAAGATGATTAAACCAAATCTTGTCTCCTGTAACAGGATGGACTTCAACTGCCGAAGCTTTGTTAGTAATGCATAAATGATCATTAGCCTATCAAGAAGAGTCCATCAAGTCTCGTAAATCTTTCCTTCAACACTTACACCCCACTTGAAATCCATATTAGTCCTTCTTAATTCTTTCTCCACTTCCTCCTTCTTTTCTGTCTCAAACACAGCGCTCCATCCTTTAAGCTGCAATGGCTGTGAGAGGAAAGGCTTCACTGATGAATAATTTCTAATGTAAGCTACGCCTTTTGACTCAAATTTATCTCGTACTGATGGATCCATCTGATCATATACTTTTCTATTAAAATTTAATAATTATGATTGATTCTTGTATTGAAAAATGATTCACTTGAAATCACAGAGTGTAGTTTCGCCTCCTTGTGAAGTAGGTGCCTCTAGGCAGCAGAAGAATATCTTCTTTGGAGGACAAGGCAAAAATGACATTTCCAGATGTTGGGGTATGGGGAAGTATGATGGTAACTCACTAGCAGAAAAAACAAACTACAAAAACAAAAAAGGTCATTACTCATTAGTCATTACTATATAAATAAATGAGAAACAGGCTTGCGACTGCACTGTACATGTACTTAAATTTGTTCTACAATAAATAATGCTATGACTTACATTACTCTTATGCTAATGCTTGCACTAAAAGTTGCATGTACTATTATCAGCTCATGAAGCATGCCTTTTAGCTTACATAGCATGCTTTGTGAATTCCAGGATGCATGCATCAAAAGGTCAAATCACCCACATTTTTGATTAAAAATTGACAGCATGCTGACCTCGATGCTGACCTAGCGTCATACTGTAACCAGCCTTTAGTCTAACAATACAATATACCAAAATTCAAGCATTTAATGGTCCAATGCAAAATTCACTAGTAAATAGTTTGCTCAAAATTTTAAAATGTGATCTTAAAAATTCATTTTGATAACATTCCTCTTCACATGGCCTGACATTAAATTTTTATAATTGATATTTGTGCTGAAATTAAGTCAAACTGATGAAGCTACATTTGTCATAGTTACATGTACCATTGCAGATCTACCTGAGTCCCTGGAATAAGTGTACGAGGTGATGTACCACGATACTCTGTACTCAACTCCTTCTCATAAGACTGGACAGCTTCCTGGAACTGTATACCTTCCTCAATAGAGAAACCCCTGAACAAAACAGCACCTATTAAATATTGCAGCAATTATCCCCATCCCAATGGTGCAAATTCATATCTACATATATACATTGTACAAGTGCAGCAGTGAAAACAATTTACCATATGTCAGTAAATATTTATTGATGGCCTCTTGATTCTCTGCTATCCATTCCTTTAAGTACTCAACGCTACTGCTCTCAATATTTCTCGGCTGTATGATGAGTGGAAGGGTCTCTCTTTCATGCTTTAATATCTCCACACCAAGACTAGCCATATTAAGACTGCGAGTTTACACCTACCCCTCCTATCTGTGGGTGTGGCTAGACCTTATCTGGAAATAACAATGTGTGCTCAAGTGTCTTGTTCTCTGTCTTTTCTCACAAGATCAGTCAGAAATGTGAGGGGCTATTCGGAATGGCTCAAGAATAGAAGATATTTTTGTTCTGAGGCAAGTGGTGCTGGATCTTTAGACGCTGAGTGGTTTGAATTAGCAAAGAAACAGTTGAAAGGGAAGGATCCTAACCAGACACTAACGTGGCACACTCCTGAAGTAAGAGGCTGCTGGGGACTACTTAAACTTTACCTTAGATTTACTGTTAATTACGGGACCCTTTTAATTGCTAATTTTACTACAGGCATACCGTATAGCTAGAAAATTTGGTGGAGTAAAACTTTGGCGAATTGAGGTCCATTCTCCAAATTTTTAGTCTCCAATTTGATAAGACTCCATAGAAGCATACACTGTATTAAAATTTTGCCAAAATTTTAACCTCCAAACCTCTTAGAGTCAGTTTGCCAAATTTTAGCACTCCAAATTTTCTAGCTATACGGTAACAATTAAAATTAAGTTAAATTAAATTATATTAAACTATCAGAGCCTGAAATAGCAGTCGGACATCAGACATTTTCCAACCATATTGCTCAATTGTTCAACCAAATTCTGTGTTGTTCTACCATTTTTTCTGAACAACATAATTTTTGAAATAAATTTATTAAAAGCTTAACACAATAACATGTCCTACTGCAGGGTTTCCCACAAAGCTATACTAAGTGAGCAAGCCTAATGAGCTGACAAGCATTTTTGAGCAACTTTAAAAATTTATTTAAAAATCTAAATTTTATCGGAATCACTCCAAACTTTCTACACAGCATAAGAACGTGCATATGTATCAGGAAAAATTGCAAAATGAAGAATTCTCAACTTTTCATTTTCGATGAAATTTGACCAAATCCCTGTACTACAGTACAGGAACTTTGGCCTAGTTTTTGAGCAACTTTGAAAATTTATAAAACATCCAAATTTGATTGGAATTAGCTCATACTTTTTACACAACATAAGTACATGTATATGTGTCAGAAAAAGTTATAAAAGTGGAGAATTCTCTACTTGTCAATTTTGATGAAATTTGACCAAAATCCCTGTACTTATAGTACAGGGACTTTGGCCCGATTTTGAAGCAACTTTAAAAATTCATTAAAAAAATCCAAACTTGATCGGAATCAGTTTAAACTTGCTACACAACATAAGTACATGTATATGTATCAGAAAAAGTTATAAAAGTGGAGAATTCTCTACTTTTCATTTTTGATGAAATTTGACCAAAATCCCTTTACTATAGTACAGGGACTTTGGCCCGATTTTTAAGCAACTTTAAAAATTCGTAAAAAATCCAAACTTGATCGGAATCTGTTTAAACTTGCTACACAACATAAGTACATGTATATGTATCAGAAAAAGTTATAAAAATGGGGAATTCTTTACTTTTCATTTTTGACGAAATTTGACCAAAATCCCTTTGTACAGGGACTTTGGCCCATTTTTGAAGCAACTTTAAAAATTCGTAAAAAACCCAAATTTGATCAGAATCAGCCCAAACTTTTTACACAGCATAAGAACATGTATACATGTATATATCAGGAAAAATTATAAAAATGGAGTGTCTAAATATCTTTTTCAATAGGGTATTTCCATAAAGCCGCTATACACTAAAGATGATACCTCCCGTCTTGAGTCTGAGATACCCGGGAAGTACCCCTTCACTAGAGGGCCCTACCCCACCATGTACACACACAGACCCTGGACTATTAGACAAGTACATAGTTTAATGAAATGCTTTAATATATTTATTGATTGCTTATTAACTTTTACTTTGAATTAATGATACTTTTATTTTCTTAAGTATGCTGGGTTTAGTACAGTTGAAGAAAGTAATAAGTTTTACAAAGCAAACATTAAAGCTGGTCAGCAAGGACTCAGCGTGGCCTTTGATTTACCAACACACAGAGGGTGAGAGAGACATTATGTAATTCCTCAGTCTCATTGTCCCTATAGCTATGACTCAGATAATCCTATAGCCATTGGAGATGTTGGTATGGCTGGAGTGGCTGTCGACTCTGTGGAAGATATGAAAGTAAATCTTTGTACCTTAATAACAGTCAATGCATGTACATGTGTTAAAGCTGATTTACAATGCCTTGCAATGTCAAGTACCTGAAAATAATTATGATGAGTAAATGTAAGAGTTGGAAAATTTTCAGCTCTTTATACATTTATAGAGAAATTCCAGTCTTAACAACTAACTAGTGACATTGTCTCACAGTGTGAATCAGCCTTCAATCACTGACATCTTTAACCAATGATGTCACAATTATTTGTTTTTTTGTAAGTAGATACTGTTTAATGAGATACCATTGGACACCATGTCAGTTTCCATGACAATGAATGGGGCTGTCCTTCCAGTCCTGGCCATGTACATTGTTGCAGCTGAAGAACAGGTTTGACTGGTTATAATCAGGTTTTTAGATTTTGTGTTGCGTAGGGCGCGTCACAGGACAAGCTGTCCGGTACTATCCAAAACGATATCTTAAAAGAGTTTATGGTTAGGAATACTTATATATATCCACCAGAGTTCTCTATGAAAATAGTTGGAGACATATTCGCTTATACTTCGAAAGTAACTTTAGTCTTTTTTATACACTTTTTTAAACTTCTGTCTCTCTCACCTTCCCATTTTTCTGCCCTACCTTTCCTCCCCTTTCTCTTCTACACTCTTTTTCTTTTTCACTCTCAGAACATGCCTCGGTATAATTCAATATCAATATCAGGCTATCATATGCAAGAGGCAGGGGCTGATGCTGTCCAAGAGCTAGCGTTCACTATTGCTGATGGTTTGGAGTACTGCAGGACCGGACTCAAAGCTGGGATTGATATTGACAGCTTTGCTCCCCGACTCTCCTTCTTTTGGGGCATTGGTATGAACTTTTATATGGTAAGGACGGAGTTTAACTTTTAAAAGTTTATTAAAGTGCTACACTGTGTATTATTCACAGTGCTAATGGATCAATAGCTCAATCCTTTGTAGATTCTTATTTGTGCATGTACATTTTATTTAGCAATAACAATTTTATTTTTATCATATTATTTTTTGATAGGAAATAGCTAAAATGAGAGCTGCAAGGCGTCTTTGGGCTCACCTGGTCAGCTCACACTTCAATGCCAAGAATCAGAGATCACTTCAGCTGAGAGTCCACTGCCAGACATCAGGCTGGTCACTAACAGAGCAGGATCCTTACAATAACATTGTCCGTACTGCCATTGAAGGGATGGCTGCTGTGTTTGGAGGCACTCAGTCCCTTCATACTAATTCATTTGATGAGGCACTGGCTCTCCCCACTCCATTCAGTGCCAGGATAGCAAGAAACACTCAAATCATAATACAAGAAGAGACTGGGATACCAAAGGTTAGTCTAGTACTTCTCACTTTCACTTGGGCCACCAAAAGTGAATGAGAGTTTAAGGTACATGTATCTTTAATTAACTTAAACTTCGACACTGTGTGGTAATTTAACTTGATACACAACTAGAAGAATCTACATTGTACATTCACATAATGTTTTGAAAGACTTCCAATTATACCAACTGCATGTGCATTTCCTTTAGTATTATTCCATATGTAAATTGCTCATTGCTACCCATGAATGATAATTATGATAAATGTGTAGGTTGCTGATCCATGGGGTGGATCTTTCATGATGGAATCCCTTACTGAAGAAGTATATCAATCTGCGCTGAAAATTATTAATGAGGTACACCATTTTCATCACATACACGTACATGTATTCATGCTGTTGTCTATTCTCTCTCTCTCTCTCTCTCAGATAGAAGAGATGGGTGGGATGGCCACTGCTGTTGCTCAAGGCTGGCCCAAACTAAAAATAGAAGAGGCAGCGTCAAAGAAACAAGCAAGAATAGACTCAGGGCAAGGTAAGTGAGTGTATCATATCAGTCTATTGTATGGTTATTGTTCAATGTGCAGAAGTCATAGTTGGTGTTAATAAGTATAGGCTCGAGGCTGAGGAGCCTGTGGATGTACTGTCCATTGATAATAGTAAAGTAATAGAGACACAGGTTAGGAGAGGGAGAGATATGTGATATACATGTAGGGAATCAGCTACACACGTACATGTAGATGTATGTTTATTATTTAAATGTTTCGCTCTCTCTCTTCTCCATCTTGTATCAATAGATCAATAAGTTAAAACAGATATATGCTACACGTGATGGAGAAGCTGTACAGTCTGCTTTGAATAACCTAACAGCTTGTGCTAGAGGTGAAGGTGGCAATTTACTTGAGCTGTCTATACAGGTAAACCCTACACTTCACTTGTGCCCTCATTTTTTGCTATACTTTGGTCGTTGGTATAAAAACATGTACATGTATTATGTATCAGTAAAAGTACATGTAAATTGAGAATTCTTACATGTACTATTAGTTCAAGATGGCTTTGTAGTATGTACATTCTATTATGTATGACAGTCTCATAACTATAATACTTGTATCTCTTCCTACTTTCCCTTCTCAGGCTGCAAGAGCACGTTGTACAGTTGGAGAGATATCAGACTCACTTGAAGCAGTGAGCTAATGATACTTCAGTGTTAGTCCTTCAGGTGTATTATTATACGTAGGTTCATGGACGTCATGTAGCTGCCATAAGAACTGTGACTGGTGCTTATGTTAACGAGTATGGAGAAGCTGAGGAGATAGAGAAAGCTCAAGAAAGAGTAAAGGTCAGTCAGTGCATTAAATGTCAGCAGACTATCGTAACATTATGAATATCAGAAAATGTAACAAAATGGAGAACCCATGATGTTATTATTATACTGTCATTTAACCTGTACATGTATCATTATAATTGCTTACTTATGAGAATTTCTGTATGTATGTGTATGTTTGGGGGGCGTGACCAGGAGGTGTGGCCTCTCAATGTTTTACATTCTTTCTAGTATTATTAATATTATTATTGCAATTTTTTGTTGTTAGGATTTTGAGAGCAAAGAGGGAAGGAGGCCTCGTGTGCTAGTTGCTAAAGTTGGCGAAGACGGTCACGACAGAGGCTACAAGGTCATAGCTTCTGGTTTCACTGATCTTGGGTTTGATGTTGACATTGGACCACTCTTCAGTGTAAGCCCAACCCTATACAGCAATTAAGCACCATATAGAACCAAATTTATGTCAGTCAAATATTTCGTCATAATTTTAATTTCTTGTTAAAATTAATTTTCGTCGCTAAAAATTTTTGTCATTTTGTTATTAATTCATGTACTACCCATTGAAACTAAAATTTGTCGGGTTAAAAAATTTTCAGAAAAAAAACCTGACGAATTTGATGAAAATTTTGACTGACGAAAATTTGGAGCTATACGGTAATTAATCTTATTATCCTCATTGATATTCACAGACTCCCACACAAGTAGCTCAACAGGCAGTGGATGCAGATGTACATGTGATTGGAATAAGCTCATTGGCTGGTGCTCATAAAGTTTTGGTCCCTAAAGTGATTGAAGAGCTAAAAACAAGAGGACGCGATGATATACTGGTTGTGTGTGGAGGCGTGATACCACCACAGGATTATCAGAGACTGTATGATATTGGAGTGACTGCTATATATGGACCAGGTCAGTCATGATTAGCGTACATTAAGAACGTGTGAAAGACTATAGCCCTCCATACGCCAGGCAACATGTTGCTAGTAACATTTGTGGTTACTTTGATCTTTTGAGCAACTTGTTGCAAAAATAGAACTGGATTCTATTCTTAGCAACATATGTTGATTACAAGATCAAAGTAACCACAAATGTTGCTAGTCTAATGAGGCCAGACTCCACCAAGGAGGTTGAGTCTGGCCTTGCAAGACTAAAATGTTGCTAGCAACATGTTGCCTGGTGTATGGAGGCTGGCTGAAGTGTTTTAGCTCCACATTGTAATTATATCATTAAATAAATAAATAAATTACAGAAATAATAATGTTATATACATGTGAGTATGTGTATGTAGCATATAATGAGATTATTTCTGCTTTCTTGTATTATGCTTTCCTATTTCTTCCTGTCTGTGATAATATTTTTAATCTTTAGATTACATGCTCATATTTCGCTTTATTGTGTAGGTACTAGTCTGCCTAAAGCTGCACTTGAACTTGTTGATTTATTATCAAAAAGACATTGATACAACTAATTTATTATAAGTATCATTATTATTGTTATTAAAGAAAAAATGCATCCCTGTCCCCGTAGTAATATAGCAGTACAGCCATAACAAGTTAATCTCCTGCTTTTCATTTCTGATGATCAGGTAGAGAATTATTAATGTCTAGACATTGAGTGATTAATAACATTAGGTATTAGATCTATTTGGTATTAGTGTGGGTGTATAATCATGTTGCTAGTGACATTTGTGGTTACTTTGATCTTTTTGGCTACTTGTTGCAAAACTAGAATTTAATTCTATTCTTAGCAACTTAATAATTACGAGACACCAAAGGTGCGTGGCCTTGCCCTTATAGATATCAGAGAGTGATTGTGACAATTGATACTGAAAAGACAATAATTTCAAAACTTCAATTTTTAAATCATAATTTGAATGGTGGGACTTGTACTGCATAGCAGTAAGTCCCTCCAAAAATTTGGAATAGAAATCATTTTACATGTGCCATACCCATTTTAAGATGTCTTTTTATGCAGATCTTTTTGGAAATAGCATCGTGGGTTTCTAAACTATAGCTTTGATGTGATCATTATCAAAGATACATGTACATGCACTATGCAAACAAAAAGCAATAAAGCGTAACTAGAAGGCTGGGTCAAGAGTAGTTATATACTTAGAATTAATAACTAGTATATTGTGTAAAGCATTCTGATTCCGGCATAGTCTCATGTAGCCAGACCATTCCCCAGCCTACAGCCTACCCAAATGATTATAGGCTGGGGTTAATTACAAGATCAAAGTAACCACAAATTTTACTAGCAACATGTATGAAGGGCTTTAAGTTGTCAAATATGTGATAGCTAGGTTGATAAGTAATGCTTTTGTTTTGCTTTCTTTACTTGTATTATTATGGTCACAACAGAGGCTACAGGGTCATAGCTTCTGGTTTCATTGACCTTGGGTTGAGAGCTCATCTTCTTGTCTCAAGGTCAACGAGCTATAGGTATAATGATTGGGACCCAAGAACGAGTATAAATTTTAAAACCATGAGTAATGATCATCAACAACATGTGAGACATCAGTGGATGGTACAAAAAGATCTGTGTCAGATTCAAAGAGCTTTTACTTCCTGATTGCCGCTATCTTTGGCTCCTTTGCCCACAATCCTGAGTTAATTATGATCCTAAATTGGTAGTAAATACAATTTAGGATAATCAAAATAATTATGGACAAGTCCAATAACACACCTTATGTAGTATCTATAGCAATAACAGAATACATAGGAATTATAATAAACATTACATTATGTTGTATTTTCTTATCCCATCATGTTGTGCCATGCATTAGATTTGCACCGTGCTGAAAATGCTAAGCTCTGAAGTCTTTTTTGCTGCAATAGCTATTATAGTTTTTCTCTCTACTTGTGATTCAAGTGTTTATCATGTTATTCCTGATGAGGGGCATCATAATTGCACTGGAGAATGTCACACGCTGTCCTATTATACTAACAAGACAAACTGGCCTTCCAACAGTACACTCATCTTCTTGTCTGGAGAGCACAAGTTGACTGCTGACCTTACCATCAGAGGACTGTACAGTTTCGTATTGCAAGGTGAAGCACTCTCCAGGAATGGATTACCTGTTATTAGCAGTGCCAATAGCTCATTTGAGTTGTCAATCGAATTGTGTCATATTGTTAGCTTTAAAAGTCTAATCATAAATTCTCCACTCATATCTCTGGAAGGAAACACTAGAGTCAATATTACACATGTCTTGACTACAGGATCATTAATATTCCTTAATTCTTTTCATGTACCTAGTTCTTCAGTTATTTTATCAAGCTCTCAAGTT